CCTCCTCCCCCTGCAGCCTGAAGCTCAGGGCCCTGGAATCTGTCCTCTAAAGCCTAGGCCTCCTCTAGCTCTCCAGCTGAGGTGGTTTTTCCCCCAGCCTTGCTCTACCAGGCAGACCTTGGAGTTCCCTGCCCTGAAATCCATACCCAAGGGTGAGCCCCTTGCACTCCAGCCGTCCAGACAAGCCTGGCTTCTAGAGCCAGCTGCTTTCGGATTTGCTGTGTGCCTTCCGGCAAGCTCCCGCCCCTCTCTAGGCTTTTGTTTCCTGATCTGTAAAATGGGAACAAAACACCTGGGTTATACAAACCCATATCCCATAATGTGACTTTACTGTTGGTATTATTTGTTTGGCTTTCCTTGTGCTCTGCCTCCCGTCCCAAGACCTCAGTGCCCTGTCTGCCTGGGGGCTTATCAGCCACGCTGGGCAACCCTCTGGGGGAGTAGAAGGGGGGACTGGAGACAGAGGCAGCACCAGCTGTAGCTGTCAGCCCACACCTCCCCCCGCTACCCCCCACACTACCACCACCACCCAGCCTCCTCTGCCTGCTAATTGCAGAGTTACAAGATGCCAGCTGCCTCCCAGGCCCCAGGCGGGCACCTCCCACTAGAGCAGGGGCTCCCTGGAAAGCCTCCCAGTCTTCAAGCCCCACAGACCCAGCTGCACTGGGGGGTGCTCTCCATGGTGCTTAGACTCCCCCCTACCCCCAGGGAGGGGGCTTAAAAAGGTATAAACATGAAGCCGCCTCTGGTTTTCCCATTTCCCAGGCTTCCCCCACGTCAGAGGAACATCCTGGCCTCCCCTCCCCCACTCAGGAACTAGCTGAGGCTCCCACTGCTGGGCAAATAAAGTCTCACTCCACATCCGGTGCATGGAGTGCTCCAGACTCGCTATTAAGCACATTCCCCCAGTGGCCTTGGTCTCCAGTCCCTGTTGATCTAGGATACAGTGCAGACAGCCCCTGGCTATTGCTTCTCTCCCTCCCCATCTGCCTGGGACTGGCTTTCCCAGTACTGTCTGGGACCTGCATTGGGCCCGAGCAGCAGCAGCTTGGCCAGACTGGACGACAGCTTCACGGTGACGGGTGTGCCTCATCCCAGGCACGTGAATCTCAGGCTCTGAGGACAGGGGTCTTGCCCCTGGGAATCTGGATCTCCCCAGGAAAGGAGTAGCTCCTTCAGAGCCCACGTTTTCCTCTGTGGTGCCATTGAATTGTCATCTTCACAACGACCCGGGAGATGGACAATGATAAGATGAGGAAACTGAGGCCCAGAGAGGCAAAGGACCAGCCAGTAAATGACAGGGCCAGGGTCAAATCTGGACAACTCCAAAGGCAGCCTATTCTAGGCGACAGACCTCAGCCCACGTCTGAGCAAGCTCAGAGCAGGTCTCCATAGATGTTCACAGGAAAAAGGGGAGGAGGGAGGAAGAAGAGTG